TAAAAAGTGACGTAACTGTTTTCCTATTAAAAATCTTGAATTCTTCCTTTAAATTAAAACCAAGATTTATTCGCAATTATTTTAAATCCAATGTTAATATTTACAGAGGTGATTTTATTAACAAAATCTTAATATTTTGTGTGTTATTCACAATGGATTTAAGAATTTTATCATTTTTAAATAGTGTGAAATGTGAAAATGTGGTAAAAAGCTGGTTTTTAAAAGGGATAATTATTGGTGGACTCTCCCCTCCTTTACCTGGAGAAAATGAAATAATTTTCTGTTGCTAGATAAGGGGAACAATTGTAAAGTATAGTATATTACTTTAAAATGTTATTTGAATTCATGACTGAAAAAATTATGAATATGTGCCTTGAGACAATTTTGGACTAATTCAACAGCATTTTAATGTCACAATTGCAATTTTATCCTAATAGATATCACTTTATTACAAAACTTATAAAAAATCTTCTTAACCTGTCGCATTGATATATATATTAAGTGCGAGTTATAAAAACTGCCAGAAGACATTTCTTTGGTTAGAGTGTGTAGAAAAATTTAAAATATTGATCTACTCTGACCATACACAGCAAATAACATTCTCTCCACCTGGCAATATTAGGAACTATGTTGGGAGCTAGAAAAGAGGAACATAATATGATGCTAAGGATTCCATCTGAAAGCAGAGAGCCAATTTGGTGTATTCAAGCCCACCCCTTTGTTTTTTCAGTCTCTTCAATTGTCCTGATGTAATTATTTCAATTCACTTTTCTGGTTTGCCTGCATAGCTGCTTGCCAAGGCACAGTTTTGTCCCAGTAATTTTAGAAAAAGGTGCATTAAAAATATCATATGGACATTTTATGCCCAAAGAAAACATCACCAGACTACAGAGGATTTTGAGACCACAAGATAACAATGTTATTAAACATTAAAAAACTGCTGAATGAACTTGATATTCTCTCTCAAGTACTTTATTCTTTATCAAACATATTATGTATACAATTTAAATACTTCATATCTCAGCTCATATCTGATCCTCATAGAAATGAGATGGCTATGATGTAAATACAAGTAATAGGTATTTCAAATATTTAAATATACAGGACCAAGTTTAATCCAAGATGAGCAAAATTTAAATTATAAAACTAAGACACTGAAAAAAATCAATTCAAAGGAACTTGGCATAAGGACTCTGTAAAAGAAACTAACACTCAGAAGGAAAGACACCCTGAGAAAAACAAATCCAGTCACAGATATTTCTTGCTAATACTGCCAACAGTCTTTCAGCATTTACTTATATCAGGGCTTAAAATTCATTTATCATATTTAACATTAAATGTTAGAGTAGAAAGTAAAAGAAAGCACAGTGCACAGAAATGTAGAGCTTCTAGAACCACAGATTTCCTAAAAAACAAAGATCCTTTGTCTAATGAGAGGAAGTATGTTTTACAAGTTCATCATCACTGCCTTAAAATATGTTCAGAGCTTCCTAGGTGATATAATGCATTTTTAAGGAAGCCAAATCTTTTTATGATTAGAGAGTCACAAATTTCTAAACACGCTACCACCGTGTGGTACCAGTCAGAATGATGCCAGTACTTACCATTAGAAGAAATGGCTTTCAGTGTCGACATCACTTTTAAGCCCCACATTCTTTCCTAACCTTGCCACAAAGCAGATCTGAATTAAACTGACTTATATACAAATGGCTAATTTGCAATTTCCAACCTATGGACTTCAAACTGCCTATTCATACTAATGAAAATTTTCAATCATATTCACTTTTGGCTACGTTATATACTGTGTCTTCAGTGGCTGACTCATTCCGTACTCTACTAATGTAGCTTATCATTATCTTGTCCACAGACAAAATACATATTGAATTCAGATGAGAATGCCCACTGACTTGGGAAGCTTGAGAAAGGTATCCTCATTGTGGTCCAAATAGCATGACCATTAAGAAATATTACAGCCAGTGTGGATTGCTTTCCCCCTCTAGAAGTACTAAGTTGAAAAGACAAACAAAAAAAAAATCACAGTAACTCCTTATGATATATTTTCCTTAGTAGTTTATTTTGGGGATTATTTGTCATAAAAATTGGCAAAATCCAGATCAACTTTGCACATTGTTCTAACAGCTTCATTTAAAAATAATTAATTATATGACTCACTTCCTCATTTAATGTAAACTCATTTTCTCTTATCTTTATTAATTTTGAAAATATTTAAGCACTTTGTCTAATGAGCTTTACTCGAACAAAGGAATAACCTTATTATAAAATGTTGTTAATATGAAAATGAACAAGAGACCATTCTGACTAAGCATTCTCACTTTCTACCTCAAGACAGGTGTTCTGTATACATGCAAATGTTGCAGACAGATGGCTTATTGTATTTTCCACACTATAAAGTTAAGATAATTTGCCCCTCATTATAACATTCCAAAAATTACCAGTGCTGCCTCTGCTATTTATCTTTTAAAATATTTAGTCTTCAGTATGATAATCTGTGGTGTTTATCTTAAAGCTAAGGAGAAAACAACCAAATCTTCTATCAAGTTCAAGCAAAACTTCCTGCTTCATTTAGTTGTCACAATTCTGGACCGAGACTCCAAGTTCGTAAAAGAAAATAAAACGATTGACAAAGCAGAACTTTAGGTTATCATAGTATTTTAGAAGGATGTTAGTTATTTTATTCCCAGAACATTTTACAAGTCCCAAACCTTTTGCTAGAACAATATTTTAGGAATTTGAAATTATTTCTGTACTTCTCACTACCCAAGAATCTGACAGCTGGTATTAAAAATAGTATGCATGCAGGAACTCCCCGGTTAGTAACTCCCTCAAGTTTTAAAGAACTCAAATTATTGAATCTTCTTTCTAAGAACTAGTGAAGAGGTTTATGAAAACACATACCAAACTATTCATGTATTGTTCTCTCACTAAATTAAATTGATTCCTATTAATATAATATAGTAAGGCCTATTACCATACCCAGTGGTCAGTCTTTACCTTTCCAAATATCCTTCTCCAGTATCCATAACCATGCACTGCTCTGTCTTTCCTCATGCTTCTTTTATTGCTGATTGAGGCACCCGCTCCTTCATTAAATAGCATTAAAAATAGATTGCACAGAACTCCCCAGTGGAGCATGCTCTAACAGGGCTAATGCCACGGTTCTCAAGGTAACCACACTCAACTGGGATCTAAGAGGGAAAGTCACTGGGAAATCTAGTAGCACATACAAACCTGTCTCAGTCTGAGCTAAATACTGTAAAAGATAAATCAGCATTAGTGAAAGTAAGTCACTGAGAAGCTGAAAGTCAATTTCTGGAGCTGTATAAGTTCCTTTAAGTATGCGTCACCTGAACAAAGTACTCTGTTTAATAGGCATTCACCTAAAGTAACTTAGTTGTTTTATTTGTCAAATAACATAAATCATGCCCAGAGAGGGTAAATTAACATGTACACGCAGCAATGTAAATGTCTTAAAAGTGCATTTAAACCAAATCATAATAGTATTGATAAGCAAAGACAGTAATCAATTATCTTTTTTGTATTTTTGTGATGAGGAACTGTATTCCTCAAAGGAAACACACCCAAACTCACTCTCCAAAAAATTTAAAAATTTCCATTAGTTGAAGTGACAAAAAGTAAAAGAATTTGATAACAAAGGAAATATAGGATCAAACACAAATACATACCTTGAAAATCCATATAAACCTGAAGAGTGTACACATAATGTCACATGCGATTCACATTATGAATGCAGCAGAAGCAATTACTGCCAAGATAGTAGATTACTCGGCTACTTGAACAAAACACAGACAGAGCTCTTGGCTTCCAAATGACTGTCTTCATGAAAATGACATTAACTAAAATCCTAATAAGACATGCATGCCTTGTGGTAACACATATATAGAGGATCAAAGGAGTAGGTGTATTTATTTAAAGTGTGTGTCAAAGATTTTCTTACTTTTACCAAATGAATAATGATTTTCTCTCATCTCCATTTCTGTTTACTTAATCACAGCAGTTTTGATTTCCAAAGCACATGAAGAGGGAGTGGGAATCATTTGGATTTACTCTGCGTTTGAATAAAACCTTATACAGATTCAATTTAACTCTGTGGAATGTCATTTTTGTTTGGAGGGGCTAAAGTGTCCTACCAGTAGACTTAAAAAATCAGAAATCAAAATGAATATCTACACTCTAAACACATTCTCATGAAAGTGATTTCTACCAGCCTTGCACTGTAGTTCTTAGCTTTCCAACCCTACAACTTTCAATTTCCTCTTTGTTTTTTCTTTTAGGCTTGGACTGTTGTCTTTATTCTGTGTCTTCAGGAGGTGGTAAAGTATGAACCTGAGCTGATGGCAGCAACCACATCCACTCCAGCTATATTTCTATGCATAAACATTGAGTGAGTTAATTCCTGTTCCTGGAAAACTTTCTAAACACCTGTCTACTTCAACTCAATTCTACCACATATCTATAACCTAAGATATAAGACATTAAGTTGGAGGTTGCAGTGAAGCACAGATTTCATGCATATAAAAAAAAACTGAACATCTTTTTTTTCCTTTCTCTTTTTCCTAAACCCCTTGGGCCCTAGGACCCCAGTGCTACCAGGACAACAAACGGATTGCAACTTTCTGTCTCTTCTGTAGCTTCTGTCAAATGAAATAAGAGCATTCCAAACTTTCTACCATAAAACCTATATAAATCACTGTAGACTTCGATGAAAAGCATCGCCCTTTTCAATTTACTTCCAGCTTTCCATTATGTCTCATTTGGGGGAAGGGGAGTCCACCCTTCCTTCAACGAAACACAAAACACGGTACATCTATAACAACAGCAGCTTTCAATAAACACGAAGAAGCAATACAGACAAGAAATAATTCAAAAGAAAAACACAGATATATGGCAGAAAGAAAGAAGGAATTTAAAAAATCCACAAAAGGCGTGCAATGTTCACGTCGGAAGACCTTGATTATTACCTTGATCGAACAGTGGATATCCCCCCTGCGTCTTGGTGCCTTGACTGGTTTGATTTAGTTTTTGACTTTT